GTGCAGATGCTGCAGAAGGTGATGCCAGTGCACACTGGTAGCTGTACAGCTCGCCAGCTGCACAGGTTGTCAGTCTTCATCTGTAAGACTGTGTCCCAGGTGCCTGACATATCCTTCCTCTGTGCTGCCCAGCTTCCTCAGAAGTTGAGTCTGCCTTTCTGAGAGCTAACCTGAGGGGCTCCTTTATTCTCTCTCCTTGCTTCTATATGACTCAAGTGGTCAAAAACATCCTTGGCTCTTTTGCCAAATTTCCCCCTTCCCCTTTTTTTTCACCCTTCACAACAGAGGTACAACAGGCTTAGACATTTGCGCTAAGTGCCTGGTCAGTACACCTGATCTTTGCCTTGATAGGATCATTGCATCTAGTCATATCTTTCATTTCAGATAATCATAAAGGCTGGAGGAGTAGATGTGGTTGCTAGCTTTATTTTATACCAGCTACTGCCTGTCAGATAATCCCGAGCTGTAAGTTTTGTAAATTGTATTCTCACTAGTCCAAAGCTTTCAATGGTTGACTGAAAGGAGAAACTGCTCCTATCATGCTACAGAGTTGTGAATCTGGCTCTCTCGTGCAAGGAAAAGATTAGATGATGATAATGCATTCCCTCAAGTCTTCAAAACCGATGAATGTGAAACGAAGCTCTGTAGTATAGCCAGGGCCTTGGAGGCAGCTAGCCCATTACTGGACTCAAGATGTTTGTAAGAGGCCGTGTACTTTAGGGTTGCTTGATCACTAAGCAGTTTATGGGGGATGTGGCCTGCTGCAGTGAGTGGTGAGGTTAATAGAGTTCTGCTGTACACAGTCAAGTCTCGATTATTCATGGGAGACTATCTGGGCTGCAGATTAAGTGTGCTGGGTGCAGAGAGGCTCTTCCCTGGGCTGCTTTTGGACCGTGCAGCTGTATGCTGTGACTCATGCTGCCCAGGCTCACCAGTCCTCTGGGTCCCTGGCCTCGCTCTTCTCTCTTGCATTGTCACCATATGATGTTCTAGAGTAATTTGCATGTGTCTGGTATTGTTGGTCTCCTACTCTATCTTTGCCCTGGAAAAGTGGTGAATGATCATAATAACATAACCTGTTTTCTTTCATTAGCGTGACAAGACAGAAGTATGCAGAGATGAAAGCAGCAGATTTAATAATTGAAAATGTCTGTGCAAACCTTGGCTTTGCATCATGATGTCAGTATGACAGTCTAATTACGCAGTCAAATCAGGACCCTGCTTCACTCACAAAGATGTAGTGATTCTGATACTGGGGTTTTTTAAGTCTTCACAGTTCACTGTGTGGTGCATGTATTGTTTCTGCCCCCCATCCATATGCCGTAATGAAACAGAGCTTTTACTTTCCTTTGGGCATCTCTGTGCAGCTCTGACTAGCAGTGCCGTGCAGTAGGGAACTGCCATTACAGCACTCCTTTATGCTGAAAAGTTGTTCCTTTTACGTTTTGATAAATTTCGCTTCAATCCCTGGACAGTTGTCCCTCGAAGTGTCAGTCAGTTTTTGGCATTATGACTGAGAAATGTTGGCTGACTTTTGCCCTGCCTCAAGAGGGCATCTGTTTATGCTTCTTTTTGGTGTGTTTTAATATTCGCATGTTCAGAGCTCAAAATGTGCTCGAAGAGTTCTAGACTCCCGTATGGTAATGGGGAAGGCAGAGAGCATAGCTGCTGACCACATGTGATGGCTTTTCTCCATCTTGCACTGTAATTTCTCAGCATGAATTGGGATGATACCTACACGGAGGATTCACATTCTGTAGGTGTGCCCTCCATTCCTATCTCTTCCATCAGACCAAGCAGGAGTTCTGTATATGATAGATTAATCTTTCTTGACCAAAGTGCACCCATTTTCTGCATTGAATGAGGCGCAGGTCATGGGATAAGGGGGTGTGGGTGGACTAGTTTAACAGTATTGCAGTGCACCGGGAAACTGAGATGCGAAGTTACAGAAAGCTTCATTTCTTAAATTCCCTGTCTTCAGAGTGGTTGAATGATGTTCCTAAAGAACTTTTCCAGCTAATTTTCTGGGTTACTTTTCATAGCCAGATTGGAAAATCTGAGCTGTCATCATGTAAAATTATACCAGCAGCTGCCTGGGATTGTGCACTTAGCCTACTGCCGCCAGCATTCTGATGGCAATAGTTGGTTGCCTTCCTCTGCAGACATAAACAAGTGTGATACTTGGTGGATACTTTGCCCTGATCAGCAAAAGATGGAAAATCCACAGGGTTTGCTTTCAAATTTGAGGCTCTGAGTAGCAAATTCGTTCTCTGTTCCTGCCTTGCTGAGGCTGGACATGTTTACACCATCAGCTCCCGCTGTTTTATCCCTTTATCCTCTAAACTTCTTGCTCTAGTCTCCACATACTGTTGTTTCTGATCCTAAAATTCTTTATCCGTTTTCTTTGCCTCACTTCTATTGTTGGTTTCATTGTTGAGTAGACCCAAGTCCTCTTCCTCTGGTTGGTGGTTGCTATCTTGGCATCTTGCTGCTTCATCCTCTGGTTGTTGTCCCTCTGGTCTCTCCAGCATTAGTGCTGTAAGAAGATGAGAGAAAAGGTGAGGCTGGATCTCCTTATCTGTGCTTTCCACCTTTAACATGGGATTCATTATAGACAGCTAAATTAAACTACAAAAAGCCCACAGCATAGCTGTCTTGAAATCACAGTATACTTTTCCCCCTCCATCATAGGTGAGCTCTTAAACTGCACAAGTGTCAGAGCTGGTGAGTTGGTGGGTTGTCAGGTGGAGCTGATGGCCATTTGTGTGATTTGGAGCACTCTTCACCTGGGTTTCACAAACTAAGAGTGATTTACTTTCAGATATAAATGGTAATGTAGGACAAGCATATGAAGAAGAAAATCAGTCAGCACAACAGTGACTAATGTGTTGCAGGCTGTGACTGGCCAACAATTATGATTTACTAAAAAAAAAATAATTCTATCCTGGAGGTGGGATAGTTAAAGAGGGCCAGAAAATTTGTCAGTGTGGTATTTAATTTATAAATGTATTTTTAGAGCATGAATTGTAGTATATAAGCCTGGATTAATACTTGCTGTCAAATGTTCTCTGCTGCGTATAACATCCAGTTCCAGTTTGGCACTCTAGTGATGTGCAGTATTGGCACCTTCTGATCATTTAGCCTGAGGGAGTCCCATTGATATCAGTGAGACCACCTGTAAAATTAAGCTTCTGTTCTGTTGCAGTGACTGTAAAATTTAGTATCTGTTAATTTACTAAAGAGAAGCAATTTTGCATCATAATTCTAACTGCAGAAATCAATTGAATGCAACTTCCGTTGTCTCTATCAATGCAAATCGGGTTCGAAAAGGCTTTCATGTTAGTTTTAGGATTCTTAAAACTGTGCAGTTGCATATTTCCGGAGCAAATGCAGTTCATGTTCTGCAAATCTTTGCAAATGGAATCGTGTCTATAGTATTGCTGAATAAAATAAATCCTGTCCTTTCATGCAGACAAGTAGATACCCATTTAAGGTTTTTTTTCTATGTTATTTGCTATCAAAATGATTATCGGTGCCCTGAGCATTCTCGGTTCATGTGATTAGGCATTGCTCAAGTGTAGTGCTTTGATGAGTAAGGGTTAGTCTCAATGTTTGTTCTGTTTCACACAAGGAAATACAGTTTTTGAACCGATTGCTTTACTTTGTCTGTACTCATCCCATATCTTTCTCCCAGTGATCTAACAAGTAGTGACAAAACGATTTCTGCTCCTTGGAGACATTTGTACGTTTTCTTCAGCATCGCTTACGCCCTTGCATATTGAGACATCCTTTGATATTAAAGCACTGTCATAACTGGCAAACGTCCACCCTTCTCTGCTTTTCTTCCTGCAGTGTGTGTGAGAGAGAAAAATAGAGGTAAACCTTGCATCCAGCTCAGGGTAAAATACTACAGCTGATCTTCAAGGTGTCTAAATTATAACAGCATTAGTAGGGCATGGGCTTTCTTTAAACAGTTTTGATAGAAATTCAGATAATTTCAAAGAGGCCTCTTGAAGCAGTAATCTAGTCCCTGGAGTGGGTAATTCCATTTTGAAAGCTTGCAGGATTTTGAGTGGAGCGCTGGCATTTCCTGGTAGACTTTAGTGACATTTACCTTGAGAGCATTCACTTCAACCTTTATCTCTTTGTCTCTCAGAGTCAATCAGTCCTCCTTCCCGGGCTTGAGAGGGATATTGCCATTGTTCCTATCTTGAATGCCTGCTGGGAGAGGAGGTAGCTTCTGTCAGAGCTTGGCTGCTCTATACATGGCACTCCCCATCTCCACTTCTGTGCTACTGATGCCCATTTGGGGAGCAGTGTCTCTATATACTGCGCAGATGTCGAAGAGCATTGTGAGGGAGATGCCTATGGAAACTGACAGCTCCGCACTCAGGGGCTACTGTCTTGCAGAGGTGCTGGGTACTGCATCTAATGTTTCCCACTGAATTTCTAACCAGCTTCTTTAACCCTTAGCATGGGAAATAAAATATGATCTGTCACATTGAAACTTGGGAAGGATAGACCAATGACACAAACATCCCTAGACCTGAAAGTATAAGTGGTGCTGATACCACTTCAAGCTATTTTCCTTTCTCTCTTCCATTCTTGTGCTTTTGGACTGGGTCTGATGGCTAGCTGGCTCTCAGTCTGGGTGAGTCCAGCCTGCAGTGTTTACATCTGTGCTTGGCATTGGCACATATACTTCATGCCACAGTTACCTCTTTATTCCCAGATTGAGTTGGAGTTTGCCACTGAAAACTTGCTAGGAAGGGAACATCCGAGTCTGCTTATTGGAATGTCTGTTGAGGCACCAAGGTTAGTTCTTTGTAACAGTTCAAGTTGCTAAAAGCTGTTGGAAAGTTAAAATGAGAGGATTTAATGGTGAAAGTGCTTTTCTGTGAGGATGATTCGTGTGCAGACTAAGCAAGCAACAGCCAATATTTAAAACACATTGAGGCCTGCCAGTCTTGAGATAGTCACTAATCTCAGCATTCACCACGATGGAGGTCACCAGAAAAATCCACCTGATGCTGAGGAGTGTGAAGAGTCTTCCTGGCTTGTGCATGATTGCTTATGGCATGGAGAACCAATTGTTGCCTGACCTGGATAAACCAGCTCAGAGTTCACATGGGAGTATCAGGAGTACTTTGGCATTAGCTGTCCTGGTACTGATACAGGTTCTCTTTGGTATGGTGAATTGGGGATATTTTCAGTTCGATTCTGGCTATTACAGCACAAGCCAGGGCAAGATTTCTCCTATGCAGAGAGGGTCTGTTTACACTAAGCAAAAGCCAAAGCTGGTAATTGAGTTGTTTCTGTGATTGGACGACACATATTAAATGGAAAGAAGCTGGCTAAGTTGGCTAGATGATAACTATACAGATTATGGTGACTTTTACAAGACCATGTGAATTTTCGTGATGGTTTTCAGCAGTGTAGGCAGTTGGTCCAGCTTGGAGCACAGATGGCTGTGTAAGCAAACCACAAAATTATTGTGCACATATAAGTGCCTATCCTTAGTTTGTACAGTTTTGCTCTTGACTTTCTGCCTTACTTTGAAGTGATGGCTGAGCTGGGAGTGGGTGGTTGAATGAGAGCTGCAGATAACTGACTTTATATCACATGCTCGTTGCTGATTTCATAAACAGGCATTAGCTCAGACTGTGCTGTAAGTTAGAAGGTGTTAATGCGGCAGGTATGAGTTAAGCCTTCATGATTTCCATGGCATCTTCCTGCTGTGTGGTTTCTAGCCTTTATTTTCTATTGTGAAGAGATTCCCTTGGAATCCAAGCATGAAGTTAGCATAAGTGAAGTGCATGGAGATGGTTCTAGCACCTGCTGAGCCTTCCGGGAGTGCCATTGTATAAATTCCCAGGTGAGCCGGGGTTTAGCAGCTCCAAATTACCTGAAATCTTTTCTAGGGGAAGGTGATCGCTTCATGTGACTACTCACTTAATAGAATTAGTGACATCTTGCACATGGGGCAGAGCGTGTGAAGGAGCTGGGCTGCTTACGGCTTTGTTCTTCTTAAGTCCCTTCTGAGCATAAATATTGACTGCAGCTTGGTCCTTGGGAGTAGGATTGAGCTCCAGATTGGCACCTCCGTGTCCATATGTAGGTGCTTAGACCTGTAAAGCTATCAGCCAGATTGCCATTACAATGAGTTGTCTGGAGTCAGTGGCTCTGTTACTCACTGGAAGTGGAGTGCTGGCCTTGGCTTCTCTTTAAAAGGATGTGAGAGGAGTCTCATGACTCAGAAGAAAGCCTGTGTTATAGGTGGTTTACCAGATATTGCTGTCTTGTTTTTTCCCTTATCTCCTGGAGAATGACTGGAAGCTTTCATCTTGATCAGTCAGCAAAGATTGCTTAAGAAGTTTTGAAGAGACATCAGTCATCATCAGTGAGTGTTATCAATATAAGCTATGAGCTGAACTGTTTTGAAAGACTTCTCTTACTGTTTGTCAGCTGTTATTTGTTGTTGTTGAACTGAAGGTCCAAGCCTGCCTTTTGCATCCACTTACGAAACGTTCTTTGCGTTCATTGCTTTCTTCTGCTGCATTCAGGCTCTTAGGAAGGTGGTCAGTCGTTTCTTTATTGTCATATTATTTGCACTGATTTAACCAGATATGGGTATGGCAATAATTTTTTGTCATGGCTTGGCATTTTGTATTACATGGTTCAACAGAGCAAACGCATTGGCCAATTAACAACAGCTTTCTGTTTCTCTGTTGTGTTGTTGTTCTGGTGTTCATCTTCTACAGCTGCATTAGTGTTAGTTTAGTAATATTGTATTACTTCAATTAAAATGAAGCTGTGCTGATGGCAGAGGAAATTCAGAAGATTCACGCAGATGATTGGTAGGAAGTAGCCTTCCACAGGAGTGATGCAGCTCTGGGTCAGACTGGCAGAGTGAATTAGCTGTGTAGGGTTGTGAAGAGAGCAGTGCTTGTGGGAAAACAGAGTAGAGGTTAAAGTGCTTGATTTACAAAGTATGTGTCCCACAGGTACCTTTCTGGCAAGGTAATGTGCTGGCAAGTAAAGTGTCCTTGGCATAGATGATGAGATGCTAGAGTAACAGAGGGACCAAGAGCAAGGCATTGTAAGTGTCTTGCAACCGATCTGGTGCCAAGACCTTATATCTTTTTGTTTAATAATTTTTTCCAGATCCATAACAACTTGCTGTTGCCTGACAGTTGTTTTAAGATGACAGTAGGGCTTCCTCCTTGAGCAGCTGCTGAACTTCCCTCTCCTCTGCCCCCAGCCTCACATGTTTAACACCTCCCTTGAGCTTTACCAGCAGTGGCAAGTCTGTGCTGTGAGCTGAAACCTATGCTGACGAGCACGGGAAATAATTATCTGCTTCTGTCCACTGACTGAAAAACTCTGGTGCTTAACACAATGGATAATGTGGGAGCGTGGCGGGGGAAGAGCGAATTTTGCTTTAGGCATCCACATTGAGGACTTGGAACAAATGAGAGCAGTCACGAAACTGAAGCCATGGAATCATTTCATTTAGCTTGCTGGGTGCATCTTTGGTTTTATGATGGATGTGTAAACAGAAGTAAACAACATTCTCCTCCATTGACTTCACCAGAGGGAAGTTCCTCAGGCAGCCGTTGTTTTGCCTCTTCCATTTGGGTCGTGAAACAGGAAGGATGGCCTTCATATACCCCCTTTCTTTTTTATTGAAAGGTAGAAACCAGTTCATGTGAGAGTTTTTTTATTGAAAGAGGTTCATCTCAGATGTCTGTTTCTATTCCTGGCTTGTATTGATGTTTTTAAACCTGAACAGAAAAACTGAGAAAAAGCCAAACAACCCAATCCAGCTTCCTTGCAGTCTTCTGTCATGTTTTCATTTTTGAAGGAAAAATTAATTTTATGGTAGCTCTGTCAAACATAAAACACAACGTTGTTTAAACAATGAGCTGTCTTTGCTCAAATATATGTCCGATTGGAATATTGTATGGTATTTCTAGTTTAGAAGACATTTATGTACTGCTCCTTGCAACTGTTTTCAGAATTACTGTTCCAAATCACTACAGAGGAATATGAGAAGACACTTATTTTTTATATGTGGAAACATAACCTTGAAAGAAGCAACATGCGCTTGTAGTTGCAGCTTGGCAGTCGATGTTGAAGCTGTTCTGCTACACAAAACTGCACAATATCTTGTCTTGTTCTCTTAGGCTGTGAAACCTGTCCTGAAATGGAGAGTTAAGCAGAAGTTCTTTTATTGTTATTTAGGCATTCTTTTAGAAGGGGCTGCTGGGAGAAAGGATGCTGCTCTGATGCCAAGTAATCTTTCATTTTTCCTGAAGTTCAGTTTCATAACTGGTAATTGGAAACCTGTTGAGCTGTTAGCTCCTTGTGAGCAAATTGTATTTAGGCAACAATCCAGCTTGGGACTGCAGGTGTGGATGGGCACTTTGGCCATGTGAATTCCTATTTACTCCCCATTATCATCTCTCTCAACAGCAGTCTTTGAGCTGCTATCATAAAACATTAGGACGATGATTCTAGCTCTGACTCTGAAGAATATCTCAAAATGCATTTCTAATTATGGGAAATACAAGGGCTTGAGAACAAGAATTTTTGAAGTTTTTAAATTCTGTAATAAATGCTCTGTCTCATTTATGGAATGGTGATTAAATAACCCAGAGCACTTTATTGATGGGAAGAGCACTTCACATTTGCTAAAATGTGACTCCCATACTTACCTGAATGTGGTCTCTTTTGCTCCTAAGGCATAGCTGTTGCTGTGAACTGGGAAAGTTGCACAGAAATTGCCATTTGCTGTTTTTCATTTATTCTTTATGCAGGAACATGTGGCATGATTATGCTTGGCAGGAGACATGAGTGGAGAGAAGTCTGCAAGTGATGTTCAGTCCTGCACAGTCTGTTTTGTACAGATAGACCTGCTGGAATTTGAAATGTTAGGCAGAACCAAATGTTGACTTGAGGTTTCTATATGCTTTTCAGGTAGTTGAGTTTTCTGCTTTCTTAAATATGGGGATAATGCAGAAGCAATAGAACTTTCTGCTGAGGCCACTTTTAAGTAGCCATGCTGGGCTTTTCAGTCTGTTGTGGAAATACTGCAGCAGTTTAATCAAGGCCTTCTCTAAATCAGCAGACTTCATAATAGCACGTCTGTGTCAGTGAAAACAGGTGCTTTGACTAGCATGGCTTAAACAGCACTATGGAGCATGGCAACATGACAGAGAGACCTGTTAATTTTCTAGAGTATTTCCTGTGCTGCTGCAGTGGCAGTAGTGAAATGTCAGGTGAGTCCCCAGAAGAGGTGAGTAGAGACCAACTTCTCGTCTTAGTAATGGTATTTTCCAGAGCAAACTCGGTGCCACCATTTAACAATTCAGTGGAGTCTTTTGCGTGGAGTAAGGCTTTTATTCATTCTGTTGCTACCTAGACCTGCTTTTGCTATGGTGATTATGTGACTGGCCAGTTCACACTGTGTAAACAGAAAGAAGATCAGATGAGGGAATGTCTGAATACTTTGTAGTCATCTAATTAATTTGAATGCTGAAGAAGACATCACTGTCCAAAACTAGAAGCTTTTTCTTGCTTATAGTTATGCTGTGTGGGAAATTCTGCAGGTAATTGGCATCTATAAGTTTTCAAGGAGAAACTGGAGATGATCTCATTCCACAGTACTTCCATTGACCACCTAGGAAGGGCAGGGGGGAGGGCGAAATCTGTTGAAAGTTGGATTTACATTAGCTTCTAGGCACCTAGTATATGATTATAATGAAATAATTGTGAACATGGGCTGTGGTGATTTTATTATTTTTTTTTCAGTCACTTTTTTTTGTTGTTGTTGTTGTTGTTGTTGTTGTTGTTGTTGTTGACATAATGATGAGGCTGTAAACTTTTCAGGGAGCTAGAGATCATGTGTTTTTGCACACATAACCAAAAACATGTTCAAAGGCTAATCAAGGAAACACTTTTCTTTTTTAGTCAGTTAACTATGCCAGTATGGATGAACAAGTGCAAGGGCTTTATCCAATTCTAGGCTTTGTCTGTATAGTAACTTTCTCGGCTGTCAACTATAATTATATCTGCAACTGTTAGAACATTTCCTCTCCAAAACAGGGAGATCATAAGTGGATTTTTGGCATGTTCTTTCTTTCCTGCCTCCTTGCAGTGGTGGGAAGGAGTATGTACCAAAATAGATGAATACAGGAAATGCATAAGTGAAAATTGTTCATATTGGTACCTCTGGTATCTTGCTGCACATGTGACTTCTGATGATTTGCCTTTCATGGGCTCAGTTTAACTGGCCTCTCTGAGGTAAATAGCATAAGGATGCTGTAATTGTGAACTATACTTTCAGACATTAAATATGATAAAAGAATGACAGCAAATAAAAACTTTGTAGGGATGCTTGGTGTGGCGTGGTTTGACTTAAATCTGAGTCTGGGAGAATGGATGGGAGAACTCTGACAGATTTTGTTTTGGAGCAGATGACTTATCATTCACTTTTGCTCTTGGCCAGCAACATTATACTCAATAATACACAATAAAAATGTGTAGTAAGATCAGTCATTTGTAGCCAATAAAAAACATCTCAGAACTTGTCTGCTCTTTGTGGGCTTTTTAGAGATCTGAGACAGCCAGTAAGAATATATGTCACATGTATAGAATGAACTTCCAACAGGTCCCTAGGGAAAGCCCCTCTTATCTCTGTTTGCTCCAGCTTGGCAGTTTGTTTTTAGTGACTGAACAAGTCCATATTTTGAAATTAAATAGGCTTCTTTTGCTTTAAAAGAATGGTTTTGGGGAATGTGCTTTGCTTGCAGTTTATAGGCCAGTCCCTGAAGGGAAGGTATTGCAGAAAATTCTTCTTGCAACTGTGTAATTTCTGGCATTAGAAACGGAGACAGAGAAATGAGGTGAGGGATGGGACATCTTCCAGGGAATGGCTGGGGAAAGCTTTATTGTGCTATTTTTGCCTGTTTCTTCTGTGTAAGTAAGTGTTAAGAGCTACAGTAATCTTGAATTTACTGAAGGTAACCTTGAAGATTCCGTTTGTTTGTTTATAGCCTTTTACAAAAACTTGTTGGGAAGGGACAAAACCACTAGCATGGCAAAGATCCATTGTTGTAAGGCATGTGGTTTGTGTATAGCTGCTGTAGAACAGGTGATGATGGGTAGTGTGTCTATTACTGAGAATCTTGAGTAAAAGTAAATGTAGCAGCATAAAACCTATCATTCCACTGCAAATTGTGTTGTATTATTTGTGCTAGCGGTGATGAAAACAGGTTTAAAAACAACGCAACCAAGTGGTGGTTTTTTCCCCCCTGCTTATCAGATAAAAATTTAAAGTCCTAAGGAAAAATCCCATGGATCATGGCAGTCTCTCTCCACAAGGCTCTGCGTACCACTTCTGTAAGTCCTGGAGCTCTGGCTGAGACTGGGGAGCTGCCGGGAGCAGTTTGCTATATTTTGCATGGGGTGAGGCAGCACTTGACCACAGAAGATCCCAAAGCAGCCTATTAGTGTTTGAATGCATCCATACAGAGGTTAAAAGGCAGCCTGCCAGCCCTGTTGGAGCAGCACCTTCTGGTGTAGTGAAGGAATTAGCAAGACAGAATTACAGAGGAGAAATATCTGTAATACTTGAGTAAGCATCTAAAATGTTCATATAGAAACTCCAAGAGAAAACTTCCAGTTCTTTTCTGTCCCAGCTACAGCAGAGCAGCTGGCAATGGGAGTCATAGATAGTCTGTGGTACTTTGGTGAGGGACCAGAAAATGTCATTGGTCCATAAATGCAGAACATTTTTTTTGCAGAATATTTTTTGTGTAGAAGCTGATATTGTTGCTGAGAGATAATTGAAATAAACTGTTCTTTGTGCAAGGATATAGCAAAAGCTGCTACTTTGCTGATAAAAGACCACGTGGCATTTGGGTTTTTAACCTGTCTGTGCTACAGAACTGTTTGGTTTGTGAAATGTATCTATCCAGGAGATCAGCAATGGTGATACAGTATGTATTTGCCTAAGCAGTGTAATGAAGGCCCTCCTTTCTGTGCTAGGAACATAAGCTGTTTGTCTTGCTTTTCAAAGTCCTCTGCTTCCTCCTTCTCTCCCTAGTGGTGTCTCTTGCTCAGTCCCAAAGAAAAGATCAATTCTTGCCTCTCCCTGTGATTGTGAAGCTGGGCTGTATTGCCTCCTTGTTTTTCAAACAAACATCTCCGTGTGTTCTCTCTGTGTTGCCTCTCAGGCTTCAAAGCAACCCTGCAGAAACATTCACAGAGCTTTCTCCTTGCTTCTTAAGGCCTTCAAAAGGTATCTGCAAATGCTTGAGGAGAGCTAGTCCTTCTGAGATGCTTTAGCTTTGAGTATTAAACAGACTGTAATGTCATTTTGTTTCTTTATTCCTGCATTTCTGTATCTCCTTTCACATGCTAACTCTTTTTGACAAATGCTGCTTTTTGCACTGACCCAGAGCGAGTGCTTGTGGCCCTTCAGTAATACGGGTCATGAGTAAGAGCTCGTGTACATATTTGTCACCGTGTTTAAAGAAGTATTGCAGTAAACAGGCCATTAAGGAATTAATGTATCTGTTTCATTTTCCACAGAAGCCCCTTGTGCTACTCCACTGATCTGTAGCTTTGGAAGGCCGGTGGACCTGGAGAAGGATGACTACCAGAAGGTTATATGCAACAACGAGCATTGTCCATACAGTACTTGGATGCACCTTCAGTGTTTCTACGAGTGGGAAAGCAGCATCCTTGTCCAGTTCAATTGCATTGGCAGAGCCAGGAGCTGGAACGAAAAGCAGTGTCGCCAAAACATGTGGACCAAGAAGGGTTATGACCTGGCTTTTCGCTTTTGCTCCTGTCGGTGTGGGCAGGGTCATTTAAAGAAGGACACTGACTGGTACCAGGTGAAGCGAATGCAGGATGATAAGAAGAAGAAATCAGTGTTGGAGAAGAGTACAGGAAGGTCAATGGCAGAGTCAGCAGAGGAGGCCAAGAAGGGCAGGCCGGCCAACAAGCCACAGAAAGGCTTGAGTAATGACCTCCAGCGAAGGCACTCGATGGACAGGCAGAACTCCCAAGAGAAGGGTGTCATGGGTGGCAGCTATGCTGTTCGTTCACCTTGTGTCTCTCCTGGCCAGTCCCCACCCACTGGCTACTCTATTCTTGCCCCCACGCATTTCAGTGGCCCTCGTTCCTCACGATACTTAGGAGAGTTTTTGAAGAATGCCATTCACCTGGAGCCCCATAAGAAGAACATGGCTGGTGGGGGCATGTTCAGGAATGCGCACTTTGATTATGGCGCAGCTGGCTTGCAAGCACATAGATCAGGACACTTTGATGCTCCTGTGCAGTTTTTGAGAAGGCTTGATCTGTCTGAGCTGCTCACACACATCCCCAGGCATAAATTGAATACTTTCCATGTGCGGATGGAAGATGATGCCCAGGTGGGCCAAGGGGAGGACCTTCGAAAGTTCATCCTTGCTGCTCTCAGTGCCAGCCACAGAAATGTTGTAAACTGTGCGCTATGCCACAGGGCACTGCCAGTGTTTGAACAGTTTCCGCTGGTGGATGGGACCCTGTTCCTTAGCCCATCGAGACATGATGAGATTGAATATGATGTTCCCTGTCACCTTCAAGGTACAGGTTGTCTGTCAGTCATGCTAGGTTTCATTAAACAATGGAATTGCCTTCTGTGCCCTGTCCCCTCCATCATAGATTTTCATCCCGATTCTGCATTTTTAAGCAGTTTGTAAAGCTTGAAATCGTGTCCGAAATACTCACATGGATCAGATTGAAACACTTAGAAGGAATTACAAAAAAGCAAATGTTGTGTAGAAAGATTCATGCCTTGTGTTTGGGTTTACAACTGAGAGATTTCACATCAGATTTCTAGGTAGACCATGGGAAGGTTTTCCAGCCAGTCTGTTCTGCAGCGTGTGCATGATCATTGGTGTTGTGAGCTTTACTCCAAGATATACATCAACCTTTTAAACAAGCTTTTTAATTTAAGCATGCTGTGTGCTGCAGCGTGGGTGAAAGTTGTATTTGTACCACTGGTGAGGTGACATGCCTCTCATCAGCTTTCAGACTAGAGAATATCAGTTTTGTTTGATGTCAAACTATTATTTTTTTTAATATGGAAAAGACTATATTCTGGCCTATGTTAACACTGGCTTGGAGAGATTGGAGGCAGTAAAAGTAAGCTTTTAATATGGTGGGTGGAAGCAGCAGTAGTGTAGTGAGGGTTTTATCCTTACTTTCAAACTCCCACCTGTTTGAACTGCATCCTGATCATGTCCCAGCTCTGAGACGAGTTGAGACCAATGTGTTTCTCTTCTCCTCAGAAATGAATATGGGCTAGCATGAGCTTCAGCTCTTCCTGAAAGCTGTGGCCCAGACTGAGTGATAGGGTGGTACATGGCAAGACATGCTTGTCCTGCAGTCTGTTGGCAGCCAGCATAGCTAAAATAAATCAGAGAAAGTATTCATAGGTTGGCAGTCAACAGCATAGAATTATATGTTCAGAAGTGTGTTGGTAAGGCATTAACGAGAGTGATTTTAACATTAAAGTTTCTCACCTTTCAATAAAATTTGTTATATCCCATGCATGGTCATAATATGTGTTATGTAACATTCCTTTGCTCAACAGACTTTGTATTTTCTTTTTTTCCTTTCCTTAAGTCACTGTGCACTAAGTCACTAAACTGTATTCATGCTAACATTATTGTTTCTGTCTGGCCTAATGTACTTTAAGGAGAAAAAGCAATAGGCAAATATACAAGCTGAAAAAGTTCCAGGATGAGCAGAATATACGTGAGATAACAATGCTTATTTGCTTTGATGGGGAGTCACACACAATGTGCTTGTGATTTTTATCAGTACTTATAGCTGGTTTAGTAATAATGAACCTCCTTGTTTGTTAACATTTGCCACTAAGAATGAAACTTTGTGAAATTTTATTTTTTAAATTAATTGCTCCTTAACCAGTGGATAATATATATCTGAAAAAATTGCTCAGACAAGTTGCTGTGAATAATTAATTGTTAGCATTTTTTACCTCCTTGTCCTGGGTAAAATGGTTTATTATCAGAAATACTCTTTGAAATTAAATTAATCTGTAGGGTGCTTTTCCAGGCTGTTCTTTTCTTTTCAGTACAGGAAATCACTTCTTTTATTTCAGGCATGTTTAAGATATCAGGTGCATCATTTCCTACATAAGAAAGATCCTGAAAATTAAGCGTTGGGGGAATGCAGTATTTTAATGTGCAGAACTTCAGATGAGGAAAGTTACGTATCTTCCTGCACATCACAACTTCTGTGCGTGAAATTATTTGAACATCACCAAACTCAAGTGTTCGCTTTAGGAACAAAGTTTATTATATTTGGACTTTAGTCTCATCCCATCATGTTTTCCAGAGCTGAATATGCCAATGTGGTGTAACTCAATTTTTACCAGCTCATACAAGCAAGTTTATTTGGTATATATTTTAAGAAGAGTCTGTTTTTAATTCTTATTTTTGTAGAATAGTTGGCTTAAAAAACGAAACACGTTAAACCCCAAACTATTACTTTTGGAAGTGTCTGATATGGACTAATAATGAATTATTACTATTTTGTTCCCATTTATCTAGAAGAGGTACAAGATCTGTGTCTGTTAAATTACACTTTGTGATGTGTTCATTACTTTGGTGCTAAAGAGGACAAATTGCAATCCAAAATGAACACTTATTGCACACAGACCTGTTTTGTTGTAGATCTGTAACTGCACTACTGCTTAGCTTTGTCTTGTATAGCAGTGCAAAGTATGGTATGTTACAGAGTTAGTACTCTGTGTCAGCCCAGTTCTGCAGGTCAATTCAGTCACTACAAATCAGGCATATCTACATGCCAGACCTTTGTAATTTGTGTAGGGCTTTTTGGGGTTTTTTTGTGGAATTTTATCTCAATTTTGCTTTGGTGAGTTTAGTCATGTGTATGTAGTGAGAATATTTGATTTACATGTTTGAGCCACTTGATTTTTATTTAAGTAAATATGACTCAGGTTTTGAAAGTCATTGTCCTTACAGAGCCTAAGGTCATGATAGAGCCCGATATATTCATAGTTCTGAACAGCATATTAAAGTCTGAATGTGTAATATATAATGTTTTTAGATATACTTACTGTTAATGAGCAGTCAGAAGAAAATACATGAATGAAAATTGCTCTTCTGACTGTTGCTTTTTTCTGCAGTAATGTTAGGTCCTTAGTTCCATCTTTGCTGGAAGATTCTGGTGAATTGTTAAATGAATGTGTACCAAGTTTGCTAATAAGCGTCAGCACTTCTTTTGTCAGGTGGGGATGAAGCTAGGACGCAATCCTGGTTTTGGAAACACTGCTGCTGATCTTATAGCTTAACCTGGCATCTGTTCTTGGAGATTTAGCTATTCCTTTTATAAAACACATTGCTAAGATCTACCAGCAAATGGAGGAAGGCAGAGTGGGCAGGGTGATGACTAATTCCTGAGTTCTGCATCCATGGAAAATATCTTCAGTCAAGCCCTATATGTTTCCCATCGAGAAGCATTTTTTAACTTCATCATTCATCTTTACAAAGGAAAAAAAATGTGAATAAGGTGTGATTTGTATCACTAAAGGTCAGATAACACATTGCAAAAAATGTCTTTTAATTTTCTGTTCTAGTCTCCTTAAGCAGTGTCTTTCCTGTCCACAGGAAGGCTTATGCACCTCTATGCTGTTTGCGTAGACTGCTTAGAAGGGGTTCACAAAATTATCTGCATTAAGTGCAAGTCCCGATGGGATGGAAGCTGGCATCAGCTGGGAACTATGTATACCTACGATATTCTGGCAGCATCTCCCTGTTGTCAGGTTAGTACCACATGTAAATATGACTCATAAGGTGAAATTCCAACTGATGATAAATAAAGCCGAGGTTTGTGTATCTCTTCTCCCTTTCCTTCTACCATCCTTTTTTCCCAGCCCTATCTATGAGTGCAATACAAGAAAGCTGACTGAGTCCCTGTCCCTTTGTCTTAAGGGTTACATCAGCCTATAGTTAGATAAGTCATTGCAATGGTCAGTGGTTAATGCTTGTGTTTTAAATAAAGCCCCTTTAAATGCATTTGTAATTTAATCTGATGCTTGACCACTAGCATCAAATATAATTCCACATTTTGAGCAGATATTTTATCTTTTCAGGTTTTTTAGTTCATAAGTTGTGTTTTATCATAAGATAATTATAGCAATAAAAAGCACCAAGTGAAGGGAAAGGTCTAAAGTGTTTTTGTGCTTGGACATTACCCAGCTCTTCTTAATCTTCATTGTGGCTGGCTCTGGTGATGGTACTCCATCCACCACAACCTGAAGCAACTTAACTTTTCATTGAATGCTTACCTAATCTATACCTTGAGTGGAGAAGATCCAAGGCCTGGGGTTACTCCAAAGTAGACATGTGCCTGAGGCAGCTGGATTGTCAGCATTCGAAAGAATTGTCCAAGTGAGTCCATGTGGTGGATAGAGCACTTCTGCTGTGTAGGTAGGGGTAGACAGCTATGAAAAAGCATTTGGCTGGGAATGACTCTGTGGTCCTCTCTAGATGCTCAAAACTGGGCTGTTGCCTGTGGACACAGTGGTGTTACTAGGTTAGGACAGGAGCCTTGCAGAGATGCACCCAAAGTGTGATTATTTCATAGTAATATGTGGTTGTAATCTAAAATACTGTTTTTTCAACGTGTGAAATGCCAGTTTAATTTAAATTTCATGTATTTATCAAAACGTGTTGCTCAAAAGACAAGTGGTGCTGCTGCTGCTGGTTAAGACGAAATTAATAACATTTGTCGCTACAGACATATATTACCTCTGAATTTAGTGTCTCTGGGGACTGTAGCTGTTTTTTAAAAAATCTTCTAAAGATAAAACACTGATGCTGAATTACTGTCTTCGTAAAAGTCAGCAACCTTAAATCTGAATTGCTTCTGTTGAATGTACAAGAATGTACAGTTATACAAGAGCCTTAATTACATGATTAATGGACAATATGACAGTACATGGTATCAGAACCGACTGAAATCGTTAGCTGCAGTGACTGTGATTGCCAGATAATAGGCATTATTGCTTCACCATGGTTGGTACAGATCATTCTGTGCATGCAGTGGAATGACATTTAAATATGGTATGTAATTTATCTCCAAATTGCCTTGCTGACATTATTTTGAATAATTTTGTACCTTATTTCAAAATATTAAATGATACATCACAAATTTACATGTAGGATAATGAACTGCAGCCATTGTCAGGTTACTAACACTTAGCTGATCTGCTGGACAGTGGCAATGGAGAAAATGACACTGGTTAAGAAATGCATAAAAATTCACATCCTAGTAAATTGTTTCTTAGAATTTCTGCTTCTCAAGCAGAGCAGATGGCTGTGAAGCTGATGGTTTGGTTTGTGTTTGAGTCTGGTCTCAAAGGGATAGTCCTTTAATAATTTTCTCCTCTCCTCATCCCAGAAAAATCCCTTAAATCAAGATGGCCCAAATACAATAGTTTTTTGTTCTTTTCAGTGAAGAGCTGAAGCTTTCATTAGCGTATTGGGCTGTGAGGGTGAGCTATGGTACAGCTCAGGCCCTTGCTGCTCATTTGCCACCTTTACTCTTAAACTCCTTTACAGTCTCAAATCTCTTCTGCTTCTCTTGAGAGAGTATTCCAAATGGCCTGCTCAGCTTTCATGCTCCTTGTTGTTTTCTCTACATCAGATGGGCTGTGTTTATCAGATAGATTTCTTCTGCCAAGACTGGCTTTTTTGTAACAGCTGAACTTCAATAGCTCTGTCCTCACCTTTGACCTTCATTTGTTTCTTATATCAACCCAGTGAATGTTGATTCTTTCTCAGTTGTATGTTGTAGAATAGTTTGTGTGTTTGAACTGATGATTAGTTTGTATCACTTGATACATATTATAAATGTTTAAAAGGATACTTAAAGTGACACAATACCTTGTTGTGATGATAAAGTAGTTCAAGTTATACATTTGTTAAGCCAGATTAAAATTCTGATACGTTTCATAGACAGATGATGTTCAAACGTCAACCTGAACGGTTGAATTGCATGGCACAAATGTAAAATTGCTCTCTTTGCTTCTGGGCTTCATTAATGATTTATTGACAGTGCACTTCTTGTGCTGGGGATTGAGGAATTGGTTCAGAGATTATGCAACACAAAACAATCATTTGCATATATAAACCTTGAAATTTGCTACCTCCCATCAGTCAAGAGTGGGAGGTAACCTGCTCCCCCGAATTTGGTGGTGGTGTTTTATGTGAAAGGCATGCTGTATGCCTGTGAATCACCAGCCCAGGTGAGGATTGTCCTTAGCAGCAGATCCCATTACTCCCAGTTTCCTGACTGATCCCTTCTCCTGCCGGCGAGAGCAGGGGGCTGCCTCTCACATCTTCTTTTCCAGAGGTGAGGAGCTGAGGCAAGTTTGGTTATTTCAAAAGGGATTTTTTGTTTGTTTCTTTGTTTTTTTTACAGGCTCGACTGAACTGTAAGCACTGTGGGAAGCCAGTAATAGATGTACGGATTGGCATGCAGTATTTCTCCGAATACAGTAACGTCCAGCAGTGTCCTCACTGTGGAAATCTAGACTACCACTTCGTGAAGCCATTTTCTTCATTTAAAGTTTTGGAGGCTTATTGACGAAAGCTTTGCTTTAGTAATAGCTATTTTATGGGGTATTTCAACTTTATTACATATCTTTTTATAGGATTCATTCTGTGATGAAATTTAATTTCTTTTCTAACTGAAAGAGCAGCTTCTTTGTCTGTGTACATATTAATATGTATATATACATGTCGTTAAAACCAGAATCCTCCTGACAAGATCTCTGTGAAGGTTGGAGGCAAGCCAATTTAATGGCCTTTGAATATATCCCGAGTGTGGGGTAAAGTTCAGCTAAAAATTATTTGGGTTTATTTTTTTGTATACTTGTAATACAGTTTATAGGAAGAGTGTGGGGAGACATACAGGACAAGAGAAATATATCCAGTTGGAAAATGGGTAATTGTGTAGGGTTGTTGTCCCTCCAGCTTGGTGGAAATGGGAAATCCTTGGAAAGAAACCATTCTGTTACTGTTTAATTCATTCAGCCTTTCACATTGGTTCCCATGGGTGCAGGAACTGGCCCCACACTGCCAGTCCCCCTCAGCAGGCTTTCTTTCAGATTTCCCAAGATGGGGTAAACTTAGGTATCATGACAAATGAATGTAAATGTAAGCTAGAAAATGCAATCTTGAATGAATATTTTTTGGCATAACGTCTTCCTGCCGTGTGCATTTGGTGTGTGTTGCCCTCACTGACAGCAATAGTGCTGCTTCCAATGTGGCTGTCATGTGCCCAGCTGGGTCACCTGCTCATACCAAAACAAGCTGGAGATCTTAAAATGCTTTATTTAAAGGTGTTTCTTCACAGACATTTTAGGGAAGGAACTGGCTGAGCTGAATGGGGATGTGTTTGTATGTGCCTGCTGGGGCTGAGGCTTTACTGCCTGCTACAGACTGGTGTCACCATGAAATGGGATCTAGGCCCTCAGACTTCTAAGGAGCTGAGAGGTACTGAGTTCAAAACATGGTATCACTTTTTAAAACAATTATTTGCTGCACCTTCATCTTTCAAAATTGTGCTCAGTCTAGGATCTGAAAACTTGGAGACATTTTAAGGAAGCAAACTTAGCATATTTACTTTCTACAGGCCTCTGTGCTGTACGTAATAGACTGCATTAGGCAGTGAATTTGTATCAGAGGGCTTGGCCCTGTAGACTCTGCAGTTGTTGTTTCTTGATTCCCATTTCTCCCTCCCTTAAATAAAATTTTTAAAATAGGTCATTAACATTCTGCTTGGTTTATCAAACCACTTGAGATTTAGGGGAGGTTTGGTTGGTTTTTTTTTTCTTTTCTCCATAGTGTATTTATGGAGTGTTTGTCCACTTGAGAAGTGTGGCTTTTGTTTCTGTTTACAAGGTGGGATTATTTTTGTTACTTCTGAAGCTGTTTTTGTTTATCCAAATTAGAATCTTTTTAAAGAGTTTATCTGTTGAAGTCATTGTCTCAATGTACCCCTGATACTCTGCCACCCTGGGAAAGGAAACAAGAGTCAGAAGCCAAAAAAAGTGTTTTTTCATACGTTGGACTGAGAGTTATGCTTTCTGCTCAGTTAAGAAATTAACTTGCACGTAGAACTCAAGCTGAATATCCATGTTTCTTTGTGTGTAAAAATGACAAGTTTACAGTTTCATTTCCTGGCTGTCTTCACTGCAGAATTAGCTCCTTTTAGCATTAGCTACTCTTCGAATAAGACTCAAGCTGCACAGAGGGCTTATGTTGGCACAGGTGACTTAGTGCTGACTTGAATGGTAATGTCCTTAGAAGCCACCCAGCTCACAGGATCCACTGCTGGTCTGATGTTAGCAGGCTGTGGTAGCCTTCAGCAGTGGTGCTCCTCTCCTGTGCTCCTAGGCTTGTTTTTGGGTCTGGAGCACATACTTGGGGTTTTGTGCAGTTGTCTCCTGATTGTGACAGTTTTGGGAAAACCTGTTTCTTCAAGGAAAATTATGGGAAAAACTTTGAGAGGCTTCTAACACTGTCCTTTCATGGCTACCACAAAGTTGCACCAAGCCCAGTTGCAGTGAGACCAGGCCTGAGCTGGTCTGGGCATACCTGAGCTGGAAGAATTTTTCTGGCAGATAAAACTGGATTAGCTATGCAGTGCAGACTTCCGTTATGGAGAGCAATCAAATTATATTTTTGATTAACTCCTCAAGGAGGATGAGCCCTTCAGCTTTGATGGTATGTTGAGTTGGGGTGGCTAACAAGGTCAGAGTTGTGTTGCCTGGCAGTACCATGAGAACCAGATCAGACAGACAATGGCTAGACTGTCCCAGTGGCCTGAAATAATGCAGCAAAAGCAAAGCTCCTGTAATGAGAAAAATTAAAGTATGCATCTCTTACTGTTGCATTTGGTCTTGAGTGCCAGTCACTCACACCACAAGTCTGAAGTGTTAATTCCCACATAGGCTACATGACACATTGTGTGCCCACTTTTTCATGCACTGGCAAGGGGAGGTGTCATTATGCAGTGCATATGTTAGGGGAGAACGGGAATCTGGAGTCCTTCTAGATACTTGTTCACTTGCTTTAGTTGTTGAATTTATAATTCTGTCCTTTAAGTTCTTAGATGCCTCTCTAGACATGTATGTGTGACAATCGAGAATGAGTAGATGTGGCAAAAAGGGAATTTGGCCAGCTTTATAAACACAAGTGTATGAGAGATTGTACAGTATGTCAAAGTCAAAAACAGGAATGGAGCAGACTGAGAAAATGGTAAGGGGAAAGCATATTCAAAGTCTTTCCAATGACAAGGAGTTATGTACAAATCTGTCCAAGAAAAGGTAATTTCTCCATCAGCTTTTCCTTTTAATTACACTGTTGAGTCTTACGTACTGCTTGAGGAAATGCCTATTTTCTTGAAAAATGCATCTCTCAACTGTAGTCTAGCAGCACACATAGCACTGTAATAATGATCCTCAGTGAAAACCAGCTGAGCTACAGAAAGATTCCTCTGAACTTTCACTCCAAGGTAAATTGTCCCTAATTTGTAGAGGCTTTCCCTGCTTCTTGCTGGTACTGAAAGCTGCTCTTGGGTTACTGCAAAATGCAGTATTTTCTGTAACATGCATCAGTCAGTCAGCTCCTGCCTTTAGCCATGAGTTTCAGCTGGGCTTCGCATAACTAGAAGGGAAGATGTAACTTCTTTGGGATCTAATGGCTACTTTGGAGGTTAAACTGGACTGCAGTTGCTTTGCTTTCTGTCTTGACAAGCACTGGAAGTAGTCATGAGCTTATAAATGTGTCAAAAGGGAAGATACTACCCTAGCTAGGGAGCTGCTTGCTTTGCTTGTTCGGCTAAAGCTTATTCTTCAGTACCTTTCATTTTTCTGATGCTGTGTGTTCTCTTTAATCTGACCTGTGGTCAGATTAAATTTGCCTGAAATATGTTTTGTAAACAAGACTGCAGTCCTCTGGATTTGGAGGTTCATTCTACTCTTCTTAAGTGCACGATACTCCTTGTGATAGTAATAGGAGTTGCATGTGCAAATGCTTTTCTTTCCAATAGGTAACTCTGCTTTCCATAGGAAAGGCTTGATTTAGATAGACTTCATATTTTGGGTGTGTAAAAATTAATTCATCAGTAGGATGTTTACAAGTAAATTCTGATAACCATAACTAACACAATGGACATCTTTTACATGCTGATGTGTAATTTGACATCTACCAAGGTGAACAGCCTGAAATTGTTGTTCCTTCTAGTGTTGTGGAGTCACTAAAACTACAGTGTTCTGTAGCCAGCCCATAGACTATCTGGTAGTCTATTTGCATTAACATCTCCAGTAGTGAGCAGTGTATTCATAACAACTTTAATTGGGAAAATAGGGAATATTCCTACAAGGGAGGCATCTAACCCAATTCTTTTTTTCTTTTTATTTTTCATCCCCCGTGTACTCTGCCTGTTGCTCTACCAGGTAACTGAGGACAAATGTTGTAAGGCCACTGGTGAGAAAACCCCCCAAAAATGTACTTGTCCATAAAGGTTTCTTGTTGAGACATTCTTGGATTGCACTTTTGCAGATGGAAGAATATGTACATAGCAAATGAATGTTGATGAAATTAAAATAATTGGTTATGATATCATTTGCGTGTGTTGTTAGAGAATATTTTGTTGTGACTTCTCTGTATTAAAAAGTAATAAATACCAGACAGCTAACAGTGCCTGTTCTTCTTTCCTCATTGTACTCTGGACTACTTTCTTACACCTGCTCTTTATAGAATTGCTCTAGTTGCCTTAAGTTTAAAGGGCACAGTAAAACTAGGGTTTTGGTGTCAGTTAAGATGAAGCTTTGTTGTAGTAGTTTTGAAGACTGCTGTACTAAAAGGGGGGTGGGGGTGGTGAGGGGTGATGTGTTGCTTGGCTAAACTGAAGTCCAGTTCACTTTGTTGACATTGGCAACACCTCCTCTATGTAGCATAGCATGTCCTGTGGGTGCTGAGCCAGCTGTTGGCAGTGGGGCTGAATAGAGGATGGAGTGCTGAATCTTCACTTCTGGTTGAGTCTGTAAATGGAACTATGCCCTCTGGTGCCTGTGAAATATCAGAAGGGCTTCTGGAGGAGAGGACACTATACAGTAGCACTAGGGCAAAAGGGTTTCCCTTGTTACAACTGAATGCTTCATGTCTGAAACCCAGTTGCAAGGGAGGGGCCTCAAATCTTTGCTTCCTGTGTAAGGTTTTTCAATAGTCTGAATCATGCATTTTAGCAAACCTTGCTCCATATGCTTACAGCATGATTTTTCTGCCATTGAATATTACCACAAAGAGGTTCAGGAAGAATATAAATGATCAAGGCCATCTGGACATATAAAAGGTAAGGCAAATTGTGCTGAGAGGAAAGGAGGACCACAGCTCAGGAGAGATGAAGTATGATTTGGAGATTTGGAAACACTCTCTAAAGAGCCAGCTGTAGATGTGCAGGTTTAATTTTGGAAGCAGATACTGTGTCTGGTTTGAATAACCTTGAAACTGAAAACCTGTGTGTTAATTGTGAAAAGCACTCTGGATAGCTGCCTCTTAAAATATGAATATCTGTTC